ATGAGAAGGCTGCGCTGGCCGCTGAGCTAGCAGCCATGACAGACCCAATGGAACGAAGAGAGAGGGAAGACAAGCAAAAGTTAGCATGGAAGTTGAGAATGAAGAGGGAGAAGAAGAGGAGGAGAGAGGAAGTGAATAAGATGACCGCAGCAGTGGCAAAGGTGCAGGAGTGTAGAGCGGAGGTGCTGGCCCAACCAAATGATAAGGCCAAGTGGGACAAAGTACTGGGCTATCTAGAGGTGTTGAGCAAGGCTTGGATGGAGGAGCGTCAGGCAAGCTGGAGCCAGGATGTAGCGTTGAGTGCCATGCGGTCCGGGTTCAGGGATTTTGCGCGCAAAATCGTCACCCACATTGGGGGCGAAGTCAAACAGTTGAGGGACAATGTAGGGAAGTTTTGTGAGGGCGCCATTCAGGGTGTCAAAGCTGCAGCCGCTGTAGAAGGAGAGGGCAGACCCCGTACGGACCCTGTGAAACTTAAGTTCCCAGACGCGTACGGGGGAAAGAAGGACGAGAACTTTGACAACTGGGAGGCCAGTGTCAATAGTTATATTTATTTACAGCATATCCTGATAGAGGAGCAAGTCCTCGTGGCCTTCCAGGCCCTGAAGGATGAAGCGGCTAGCTTCGCCAGGTCTCTCGCGCGTACAGYSGGTTGTGAAAACAACCTGGTTGCATATTCCAAAGTCACTCCTCTTTCCCAATTCCTCAAGCTCCTCAAGGAGCGGTTCGCTGACCCAACGCGAGGCATTAGAGCCTCTGATAAGCTCCAAACGATCCACTCTCGGCAGTGGAGGAGTGCTAAGGCACTCAAGAGTACTATGGACGACTTGGTAGCCGTCCCGGACCACGGGGTCACTGAGCCCCAGYTGGTCCAGTTGTTTTATCGTGCCATTTCATAGGCCCTACGTGGGCATTTCTTTGACAAATCTCAGCAGACCGGCATGACTTACGATGCATTGAGTAGAGAAGTCATCCTATATGAGTCGAAGTCTATGCCAGTTACCACTTTCTGGCATAAGGACCTGGAGAAGGGGAAAAAGTGGCAAGATCGTACCATCTCGGGCCAAGTCAAGGCCAAGGATCACTTGATCCTGACATTAAAGGAGGGTGGTACAAAAGAGGTCCCATATGATCAAATTGAGTGGGGCCTAGGGGAGGAGTACAGTAGTGTTGGGCAGGGGAGGTCTTACGCTGCTGTCATGGCTGGAGGGAGGCCGCAAGGTAGAGGAGGAGGCCAGGGCCAAAGGGGCCAGGCCATGGGAGGCCGAGGACCGGGCGCGCAGGGGGTTGGCGGCCAAGGAAACCGCCAAGCGGGAGGTAGGGATCAAGGTCCCCCGTCAAATCGCCAAGGTTCATTCCGGTCCCCACAGCGAGGAGGTGGAAGGGCACCTCAAGGTGGATGGCACCCAGGCTTGCCGCAGGAMAGGCCCTGGGAAGATTTGGGYTTGGACYAGCGTATATGGCAACAACGCGTGGACCAGGGTCAGTGCGTATTTTGTGGTGACCCGGGGCACGTAATCAAATTTTGTCCCAAGTATAGACAGGCCCATTGGGCTGCCCAACAGGCAAAAGGCAGCCGCCAGTAGGGATCGCAACTGCCCCTACTTCTACGCCATGTGGAGAAGTGAGCGCGCGCGAACAGGACTCTCCCAACCCACATGAGCCTATGGCAGAGGTTGCAGGCCCGTGCCTAGATAGCTGTTCAGAGACTGCTTGTGTTAGCGTCTCCTTAGGCACGTCCCTCACAGGTGTGGCAAAAGAGTTAAAGGAGAGGATGCCAGTCTGGGCCAAATGAAAAGGGAGAGTAGGGGACAACTGATTTTGGTAGATTAGATGTGTTCAGAAGTAGAGTAGGGGCCCTTATAGACTCAGGGGCTACCCGCAGTTACATTAGCCGTAGGGCGCTGAAGAAGTTGAGGCTGGGACTAAAGGTCCAGAAACTAGTAGACCCCATAGTCAGTGTCCTCGCAGACAACTGCACGATGCGCGTTGAGGACTACGTAGAGGGAGTCCGGGCGTACTTTCGCCTAGAGAAGAATGGAAAAGTGGAGAAGATCCTCCATTCTTTGACTCTCCTCGTGCAGGATGATCTTCCTTTCGATATAGTGTTAGGAATGGATTGGGGAGAGGCAGCAGGGGCCACACTTCATTTGAGAGAGCATGAGTGTAGGCTCCCTAGCCCGGCAGGCGAAGTTAAGACTGCCCGCTTGTTCCATGTGTCGAGTGTAGACAACACCTTGGCAGATTGCTGTCTTAGTGCTCCCGCGTTCGTGCGATTAGTCAAAAAGGAGCAGTTAGAAGGCCATGTCTTTGTAGTTTATGTTAGACCTGTCATTGAGGCCCAGGAAAAGGATAGCTCCTTAGATCCAACAATTGCCAAGCTGCTGGAATAATTCAAAGACTTGACTGAGTCACCGACAGGAGTAGTGTCGCGGCCCATCCAGCATAGGATAGAGATAGAGCCTAGCAGTAGAACTCCTAAGGGTGCAATCTACAGGATGTCCCCGAGAGAGTTAGAGGAGCTTCGCAAGCGATTAGACAAACTCCTTGAGAAAGGTTGGATCAGGCCCAGTTCGTCTCCTTTTGGAGCACCCGTTTTGTTTGTCCCCAAGAAGGAAGGAGAGCTCAGAATGTGTATAGACTATAGGGGCTTAGATGCGATCACCGTGAAGAATGCTGAGCCGCTGCCCAGGATAGACGATCTTTTAGATCAGGTGCAGGGTTGTAAGTACTTCTCTAAGATAGACTTAAAGTTCGGATACCATCAGATAGAGGTTCATCCTGATGATCAGTACAAGACTGCGTTCCGGACTAGATATGGGCATTATGAGTTTATAGTGATGCCCTTTGGACTAACCAACGCGACAACTACTTTTCAGCGTTGTATGAATGACCTSTTTAGACCATGGTTAGATAAATTTGTAGTAGTCTACTTAGATGATATCCTAGTCTTTAGTAAGACCCTCCAGGAGCACCAGGGTCATCTGAGGCAGGTCTTGGAGAAGCTTAGAGAGGCTAACTTCAAGATCAACGCGAAGAAGTGCGAGTGGGCCAAGACGCAAGTCTTATACTTGGGCCACGTGTTGGACGGAGATGGCACTAGATCGCGGCGATCAGAGATTGGCCGACGCCCCGCACATTGACAGAGTTGCGGTCGTTCCTAGGCTTCGCTAACTACTATAGGAAGTTTGTGAGGAACTTCTCCACTCTCGCCGCTCCCTTGCGCCGATTGCTGAAGAAAGAGGCAATCTGGCAATGGGACAAAGACTCTACGTCTGCGCTCAAGAAGCTAAAGCGCGCGTTAATAGAGTATCCTGTCCTCAAAGTTGCAGATCCGTCTTTGCCATTTGTCGTCACCACGGACGCGAGTCAGTATGGGATAGGCGTTGTGTTGCAGCAAGACGACGGCAATGGCTATAGACCCGTAGAGTTCATGTCAGCGAGGATGGCCTGTGAGAAGGTTGCTGCCTCCACGTACGAAAGAGAACTCTACGCTCTCAGGCAGGCTTTAGATCATTGGAAGCACTACCTGCTTGGGAGGCACTTCAGAGTGTATTCGGACCACGAAACGCTTAGATGGTTAAAGACTCAGGCCAAGATGACACCTAAGTTGACTAGGTGGGCCGCAGAGATAGACCAATTCGACTTTGAGTTCAAGCCAGTGAAGGGCAAGTACAACGTAGTTGCGGATGCTCTGAGTAGGAGATCAGACTACTTTGGAGCTGTAGTACACTATCTGGATATAGGGAGAGACCTGCAGGAGAAAGTGAGGCAAGCATATGCACAGGACCCTATCTATARCGACCTCCTAAASAGAGTTAGAGAGGCCCCAGAGACTGAAYCAGAYTACCGCACTACAGACGGGTTGYTGTTTGAGAAGACTAATGTGTTTGACCGCCTGTGCGTTCCCAACAGCGAAGAGATCCGCAGTTTGRTTTTAGGGGAATGCCACGATACTGAAGGGCATTTCRRTTSGCAAAAGACATTAGCCAACCTGATGCGTGCGTATACCTGGCCAAGGATGAAGAATGACTGCATAGAGTATGTCCGCAGTTGTAAAGTGTGCCAGAGGAATAAGTCTACTACACACGCGCCCCTAGGTCTTCTCGGACCCTTGCCTATTCTGGATCAGCCGGGAGACTCCGTGTCCATAGACTTCATGGACACCCAAGTCAAGAGTAGACATGGTAAGAGCCAAGTCATGGTCGTAGTTGACCGTTTTAGTAAATATGCAGTTTTCGTCCCTTTGCCTGCAGAGGCACGTACGGACTTAGTTATACAGAAGTTTTTTGACTTTTGGGTTAGTGAGAATGGAATCCCAGTGTCGATAGTTAGTGATAGAGACAGTCGTTTCACCAGCCAGAACTGGCAAGAACTCATGAGAGTCTACGGATCTAAGTTGTTAATGTCGTCCGGCCGTCACCCAGAGACTAACGGTCAGACAAAACAGATCCTACAGCAAGTTCTGCGCATGTACATTAGACCAGATCAGATTAACTGGGATGAGATGTTGCCTAAGGTCGCTAGTGCATACAACAACAGCGTGCATCTATCCACCTGCCGCACTCCCAATGAGTTGCACAAGTCCTTTAAACCGCGCAGACTGTTCGAAGGACTGAGCCGGGATCAGATTCACAGATTACCGCCCGGTACCAGGGAGTTTGCGATACGGCACGAAAAGGAGCTAGCCACTGTTGTTGAGAACCTTCGGAAGGCCCAGCACAGAATGATAGAGCAGGCTAACAAGCACCGTCACCCATCACAGTTTCAAGTAGGTGACTTAGTCTGGGTCAAAGCAAAAGAGTTTGCACCGGAAGAAAACATCTCGCAGAAGTTACTGCCTGCATATAGAGGACCGTGGCCGGTTCTAGAAGTCAAGGGCGGAGAGGATGGACCGTCCTACAACATTGAGATTCCAGCACACCTCCACACATACCCTGTGTTTCATGCTTCAAAGCTGCTGCCGTGTGTCACAAGTCAACAGTTCCCTTCAAGGAGATCCATGATCCCACCGGATATGGATGGAAGCTATGACATAGAGGGCATTGTAGAAGAGGACGTGTTTAGGACAGAAGGTAGAGGTCGTCCCCAGAAACAGTATAAAGTCCGGTTTGCCTATCAGGAACCAGAAGACGACCGCTGGTTCACGAAAGCAGAACTTCTAGAGACTGCTCCCGACATAGTCAGAGCCTATGAGCGTGACAAGAAAGGTAAAGGTCCCGCCTTGGACTGAAATTTTCCCGGAGGACCTCGAATTTAGGACGGCGGGAGTGAAACGGTTCTCACCTTTTAGCAGTAGCGGATGCAGTACCTAGGGTTCGATCCCTAGACCTCACCCTACCGATGTACAGTATCTGTGTAGACCCCGATTATTGAACCTGTGACCTGTGCATTCATAGGCAGTTGGTAGGCCTGTCGTAGGTCCATAGGCAGCAGGGGTTCGATCTGTAGGTCTATAGCGTAGGAGTCTTAGTGAGTTCCCGAAACTTAGCTGTAGACCTTCTAGAAGGTAGGCAAGTGGTCAAGTGGTGAGGCAAGTGGTGGACTAAACCGCAGTGCAACAGCAGTACACCGTCGGTAGGATAGCGGTGAGTCCACAGTCAGTCAGCGGAAGGTCCTGTCAGTCCCAGTCCGGTCCAGCAAGTACCACAGGGGGACTGTGAGCACCAAGGGCCGATGGCAAAGGGCAGACCAACGAGTTTCTGAAGTATAAATCAAGAGGCAGCGCCCAGCCATTCATTCATTGCTGCGTGAGCCATGCGGAAGCGCTGCCACAACGACTTGTGCAAGGAGGTCTGCAGATGAGCCCGGAGGACGCAGTGGGCAAGAGAGAGGGAGTTAGCATAGCGATAGGTTAGATGCAGCGATAGCTGCCATAGCTRTAGTTAGTAGTGAGTGTGTGTGTGTGTTCGAGTGTTAGAGGGATGCGTGTGGGGTATCCAGGGTGATCCACTGGATGTGAACTGTGAGATGTTTGGGCGCTGAAGTCGCCATAGCCATTTGAGAGTGAACTCGTGTCTGAAAGCCATATCTCTGAGTTTGGAGTGGGCGCATGTCGCCAGTATGCTGCGTTGCTGTTTACATGCATGAAAAGTGTGCTTGAGAACGAGTCTGATTGCAGAAGGATCAATCGATCGATCGATCAATCTGTGAGCAGATCCAATCTTGGTCCGCTCTGATACCAAACTGTTGGATACTGGTGAAGTAAACACAAGTATGATGCAGAACCCAGAACCAACCAATAACAAAGAGCAATATAATGCAGCAGAAGATTGATAAACATTGATCTGACTCACACCTGACTAGGACTATCTACAAACTCACACCATACATTCATGGGGTGGGAGGCCTGGCACTTCAAGCATGGAAGACAGCGCGAGGGCCTGCATAATCATCCACAGACGAAATGTAGGGAGAAGAGACAAAGAGAGGAGGAGAGATGGCGCAACCACCAATATCACCGAAATACGAATCCTGAAATGTCGAAGATACAAAGTCTTGAATGTTGAAAATACAGAATCTCGTAATGCCACTGATGTAAGATTTCCAACATAGTCGCCTCAATGTCTCAATCCGAAATATTCTCAGTCCTTATGTCACCGATAGTCCACCTCTGATCTCTGCCCAGATAGTAGTCCAGAATGTAGTAGGTTAGGAGGTGATGATGAAGAAAAAGAAGAAGAAGAAGAAGAAGAAGAAGAAGAACTGAGAGGGGCAGAGGAGAAGGTGCAGATGGAGAGGTGGGAGGAGGAGAGTCCTCCCTTCCTTATCCAGTGTCCAGACACCAACCTGCTGACACAAGGTGCTGCCTTGGAGTTGTTGATGACTCACCCTCGACGCCGGAGCTGTGGCGCTCACAGGTAGGTAGCAGGTAAGTCGCTCTTCTCTCTCTCTCGCGCGTCTGCAGCTAGCGCTACACCTAGCGCTCTGCCTGGAGCTCCGCTAAACCCAAAATGGCACAGCGCTGCTGCTCCATAATGCCGCAGCCTCAAAGTGTCCTGAACTGACCGTTGGCCGGTGCAAAGTACCGGTGGTGGCCTGTCCGGCCTGGCTGCTGAGAACCCGCGCCATGATCTGGACCGTAGATCGATCTGACGGTTCAGATCGGACCCGCGGAAAAGTGCAAATCTTCGGCCGCCAGGCTCAAACCAAAAATGTTTGAGCCGGTTTCCTGCTTAGGGTCTGCAGTTGCAGTCTCCGGTCTAAGTCCGGTTGCTGGAGTCCTAAGGTAGGCCTTTCCAAAGGTCCAGCCTTTAACCCAGGCCGGACTGGCCCAGCGTGGCCATGGTCTGGGATAACCCCCTAGACCTAGTCGTCGGGCCTAGTAGGGCCCGTGTGGAATCCAGTATGTAACAGTCGTGCAAGGACCAGGGAAGGTCCTAGCAGAAAAAAGACAAAAAAACAAAAAATACGAAAAACACGCTGTTATGCAGAAAAATAAATTGAACAACTTTTGCCTTAGGGTCATATCGAAATTCTCTGCCAAATTTAAAATAAAACTAGGCTACCAGAGTGGCCCTGTCCATTTGCCCGGCCGTGCCAAAAAGAAATAAAAAATAAAAAATATTTTTTAATTTAATTGTTTATTTTAAATTTGGTAAAGAATTTCGATGTGACCCTGAGGCAAATGTTGTTCCGTTTATTTTTCTGCATAACATAAGTTTTTCCCGGTTTTTTTTTTTTTTTTTTTTTTTTTTTTTTGGCTAGGACATTCCCTAGTCCTTGCACGGCCAGGCTGCCCAACAAAATAGGGGATACCAGGCGGCCCGGCTGGTAGCCTAGAAATAAAAAATAAAGTTAAAAACTTTTTTTCTTCTTGGCCCGGTCGGGCAGGTGGCCCCGGGCCACTCTGGTAGCCTAGTAATTGATTCTTTTTCGAAAAAACAGAAATTATTCAAAAATACTTCAAAGTTAATTAATTGTTTCTCGATGTTTTTGCAATCATACTCGTTCTCATTCACACTTTTCATGCATGTAAACAACAGCGCAACAAACTGGCGACATGCGCCCACTCAAAACTCAGAGATATGACATCCAGATACGAGTTCACTTTCAACAGGCTATGGCGACTCAGCGCCCAAACAACTCACTGTTCACATACACCGGATCACCCTGGATATCCCACGCTGTCTGAGGGCACGGTGTCCCGGCCCTCCTTTGTGTACCAGGTCCTCGCTCAGTTTCAGCTCCTTGTTCCGGCCTATTGCTTCCTAGGCTCATCCCGTGCTATAG